TGAGCTACTCAAGTCCCAATATGACTCAGCTTTTAGCAAGCCGCTAACCAGACTGAGAGTCGAAGATCAAAACGAATTTTTTATGAGAGAGCCACAAAATTTGGTTAACACAAGCCTATCCGATGTCATCCTGACGCCAAATGACTTCGAACAGGCGATAAATGACATGCCCATGCACTCTGCCCCAGGGCCAGACTCATGGAACTCCGTGTTCATCAAGAACTGCAAGAAGCCACTATCACGAGCCTTTTCCATCCTATGGAGAGGGAGCATAGACACGGGGGTCGTCCCACAGTTACTAAAAACAACAGACATAGCCCCACTCCACAAAGGGGGCAGTAAAGCAACAGCAAAGAACTACAGACCAATGGCACTAACATCCCATATCATAAAAATCTTTGAAAGGGTCCTAAGAAGCAAGATCACCACCCATCTAGAAACCCATCAGTTACAAAAACCCAGGGCAACAGGGGTTTTAGAACAGGTCGCTCCTGTCTGTCTCAACTATTGGATCACTACGACAAGGTCCTAAATGCACTAGAAGTTAAAAAGAATGCTGATGTAATATATACAAACTTTGCAAAAGCCTTCGACAAGTGTGACCATGGCGTAATAGCGCACAAAATGCGTGCTAAAGGAATAACAGGAAAAGTCGGTCGATGGATCTATAATTTCCTCACTAACAGAACACAGAGAGTAGTCGTCAACAGAGTAAAGTCCGAGGCAGCTTCGGTGAAAAGCTCTGTTCCACAAGGCACAGTACTCGCTCCCATCTTGTTCCTCATCCTCATATCCGACATAGACAAAGATGTCAGCCACAGCACCGTGTCTTCCTCTGCAGATGACACCGAATCTGCTGACAGTGTCTTCCATTGCAGACACTGCAAGGCTCCAGGCGGACATCAACCGAATCTTTCAGTGGGCTGCAGAAAACAATATGAAGTTCAACGATGAAAAATTTCAATTACTCAGATATGGTAAACACGAGGAAATTAAATCTTCATCAGAGTACAAAACAAATTCTGGCCACAAAATAGAGCGAAACACCAACGTCAAAGACCTGGGAGTGATCATGTCAGAGGATCTCACCTTCAAGGACCATAACATTGTATCAATCGCATCTGCTAGAAAAATGAGAGGATGGATAATGAGAACCTTCAAAACTAGGGAGGCCAAGCCTATGATGACACTCTTCAATTCACTTGTTCTATCTAGGCTGGAATATTGCTGCGCACTAACAGCACCTTTCATGGCAGGTGAAATTGCTGACCTAGAAAATGTACAGAGAACCTTCACGGCGCGCATAACGGAGATAAAACACCTCAATTACTGGGAGCGCTTGAGGTTCCTGAACCTGTATTCCCTGGAATGCAGGCGGGAGAGATACATGATTATATTACACCTGGAAAATCCTAGGGGACTAGTACCGAACTTGCACACGAAAATCACTCACTACGAAAGCAAAAGACTTGGCAGACGATGCAACATCCCCCCAATGAAAAGCAGGGGTGTCACTAGCACGTTAAGAGACCATACAATAAGTGTCAGGGGCCCGAGACTGTTCAACTGCCTCCCAGCATACATAAGGGGGATTACCAACAGACCCCTGGCAGTCTTCAAGCTGGCACTGGATAAGCACCTAAAGTCGGTTTCTGACCAGCCGGGCTGTGGCTCGTACAGCCAGCAGCAACAGCCTGGTTGATAAGGCTCTGATCCACCAGGAGGCCTGGTCACAGACCGGGCCGCGGGGGCGTTGACCCCCGGAACTCTCTCCAGGTAAACTCCCAGTAACTAAGGTGTTTTATCGTAGTTATGTGCCGTGAAGGTTCTCTGTGCATTTTCTAGGTCAGCAATTTCACCTGCCTTGAAAGGTGCTGTTAGTGTGCAGCAATATTCCAGCCTAGATAGAACAAGCGACCTGAAGACTGTTATCATGGGATTGGCATCCCTAGTTTTGAAGGTTCTCATTATCCATCCTGTCATTTTTCTAGCAGATGCAATTGGTACAATGTTATGATCCTTGATGGTAAGATTCTCCGACATGATTACTCCCAGGTCTTTGACGTTAGCTTTTCGCTCTATTTTGTGGTTGGAATTTGTTTTATATTCTGATGAAGTTTTAATTTCCTCACTTTTACCATATCGGAGTAATTTAAATTTATCATCGTTGAACTTCATATTGTTTTCTGCAGCCCAATAGTTTAGGATCGTAAATTAAATTCGACTCTAGTGTCTTTTTTTTTTCTCATAATTTGAAAAGTTTGTTAACAAAGAACTCACATTAATTAAAATTTTAACTGGCATTAAGTAAGACCTAGTATCATTTAATAATTTACACTAAATCGAATTCGCACTGACGACACTGGAAGACAGAAGGGTCAGGGGAGACATGATAACGACATTCAATATTCTGCGTGGAATAGACAAAGTGGACAGAAACAGGATGTTCCAGAGATGGGACACAGAAACATGGGGTCACACTTGGAAGTTGAAGACTCACATACGTGATGCTAGGAAGTATTTCTTCAGCCATAGAGTAGTCAGGAAGTGGAACAGTCTGGCGAGTGATGTAGTGGAAGCTGGAACATACATAGCTTTAAGACGAGATATGATAGAGCTCATGGAGCAGGGAGAGAGAGAACCTAGTAGCGTTCGGTGAAGAGGTGGGGCCAGGAGCTGAGTCTCAACCCCTACAACCACAATTAGGTGAGTTCAATTAGGTGAGTACACTAATCATGACCTATATGTAAATAGTTTAATAATAATAATAATAATAATAATAATAATAATAATAATAATTTATTATTAATATTAAAGAAAATTATAATTATTTGTAATTAGTAATAATAACCATTGTTTATTTATAATATAATTTCTTTAATAATTACATTAATAATAAAAATAATTTATTAAGAGGGAGGATTGATATTTGTAATAATAATAATAATAATAATAATAATAATAATAATAATAATAATTTTTAACATGATATATGGTTGCACAAAGGACTATAATAGTTGAGTGTACATGCCAGAAGTGTCTTAATTGAGAATCTGAGCTTGCATTAACTTAAGATTAATAAGGTAATACAGATTATATGGTCATTAGATGAGTTACAGTGAGTACAAGAAGACTGAGTATTAATAGGTAATGTTATATGGCTTTAATATGTCTAGTACAACTAGTACAAAATAATTACAGTTTTGAATTAGATTATAATAATTACAGTATTACAATAGAACAACTTAATATGAAGTATTACAACTGAGTATTAAAATGATGAAATTTGAACATTACAGTTTTGAACTATTGCACTATTACAATTGAACAATTTAATCAATTTACAATACTAAGTATTACAATTTAGTATTTAAAACAATGAAATTTGAACATGTTGATTCTGAAGTAAGGAGAACATGGCTGAGCAATGTTCAGCACAATATTCTGAAGTAAGGAGAACATGGCTGAGCAATGTTCAGCACAATATTCTGAAGTAAGGAGAACATGACTGAGCAATCTTCAGCACAATATTCTGAAGTAAGGAGAACATGGCCGAGCAATCTTCAACACAATATTCTGAAGTAAGGAGAACATGGCTGAGCAATCTTCAACACAATAGTCTGAAGTAAGGAGAACATGACTGAGCAATCTTCAGCACAATATTCTGAAGTAAGGAGAACATGGCTGAGCAATCTTCAACACAATATTCTGAAGTAAGGAGAACAGGGACTGAGCAATCTTCAGCACAATATTCTGAAGTAAGGAGAACATGGCTGAGCAATCTTCAACACAATATTCTGAAGTAAGGAGAACATGACTGAGCAATCTTCAGCACAATATTCTGAAGTAAGGAGAACATGGCCGAGCAATCTTCAACACAATATTCTGAAGTAAGGAGAACATGGCTAAGCAATCTTCAGCACAATATTCTGAAGTAAGGAGAACATGACTGAGCAATCTTCAGCACAATATTCTGAAGTAAGGAGTACATGGCTGAGCAATCTTCAGCACAATATTCTGAAGTAAGGAGAACATGGCTGAGCAATCTTCAACACAATATTCTGAAGTAAGGAGAACATGACTGAGCAATCTTCAGCACAATATTCTGAAGTAAGGAGAACATGGCCGAGCAATCTTCAACACAATATTCTGAAGTAAGGAGAACATGGCTAAGCAATCTTCAGCACAATATTCTGAAGTAAGGAGAACATGACTGAGCAATCTTCAGCACAATATTCTGAAGTAAGGAGTACATGGCTGAGCAATCTTCAGCACAATATTCTGAAGTAAGGAGAACATGGCTGAGCAATCTTCACACAATATTAGTGCTTTTCTGTGTAGTTTTTAAGTAACTGGGAGGTATTAAGTATGGTTTGTCTGATTAATTTTGGGTAATGAGGTGATTTTTAAGTAGAGCCTTAAAATGATTTGTAGACAGGGGCCCGTTAGTGTCTTCTGGCAATGAATTCCAGATTTTCGGGCCCTTTACGTGCATAGCATTTCTGCACAGGGAGAGATGGACACGAGGGATATGGAAGAGTGATGTGTCATGTATTATGGCTGTGTTCTGTTGTAGTTATCAAGGCGGAGTGTAGTAGGACAATAAGTGGGGATGTTTTGTATAATAAGCAAGTTACGGATCTTAAAACGCGGTGGAGTGTGGTGTCTGGTGCAGGAGTTGGTAATCAATCACACAGCAGTTTTTTGTCGGGTTATTAAAGGTTTAAGGTGATTTGCTGTGGTTGAGCCCCATGAAGAAATACCATAGGTGAGGTAAAGGTAGATGAGAGAGTGGTAAAGAGGAAGAAGAGCTGTTTGGGCTATATAGTACCGTATCTTAGAAAGAAAAAAATAATGCTTCAGTAAAATAGATAATTATTATTGATTGTTTATAATAATAATAATAATAATAATAATAATATAATAATAGTGTATTAATATTATATTCAAAAGAAAGCGCTAAAATAATAATGCAATATTTTAATAATGAGAGAATCTGAATTAAAAATTTACAATAAGTAATAATAATCATCATAATAATTATGAAGTAATAATAATTTAATAAAAGTAAGATAATTATAATATTTATAACAGTGTTAACATTAATAATAACTCACTTGAACACTCAGTGATGATGTTTGTTTGTGTAGGTGAGCGAAGTGTTGGAGGCGCTGGAATCACTCATCCACTCTGGTATTTCTTGACCTGGCCTGGCCTGGGTCACTGGCCTGGCCTGGATCACTGGCCGGGCCTGCAGCAACCAGACATCGACTCCACATCCAACTGACTGGTGACACTATGCGGGCCAGACAGTTTGTGTTGTTGTGTACTGGACAACACTCAGGCTCCTCCTACCTCAACACTAAATTGTTCAAGTTGTGGAACAAGGATGAGCCAGGGGAGTATGTGAGGGGTGGAGACTACCAGTATAATAATGGTAGGGGAGGAGCAGCACTGTTCTCTCACCAGGATGATCACCAGTACCAGAAGTCAAGCAGTGCTGGTGCTGTGTGGTCAGCACGGTGGTGGGGAAGTCTCCAGAGTGCCCAGTTCTGCATCACCACCAGGGACTTGACAGATGGTCGCCAGTGGTACGGTGTCTTCGGTAAAGTGGTGAAGGGTCTGGAAGTGGTGAAAGCAGCAGTCAACCACAGCGACATCACCGAGGTGACTGTAGTGGACTCTGGTGTTGTGTTGACACTCTAGTTTACTGTGCCCTCACTACTGTCACCATCACATTGTAATAATGATTTTAAAAGCCTTATTGTACATGGTCGTGAAAGAAACCTGCAAGTGTCCCATAGCTCAGATGGTTGAGCACTCACCTCACACACTGAGGTCATTTGTAAGGGATCTGGAGAATATTACTAAGTTAAGTCTATTGAAGGAAATTGTTGAAAGTTACCTAGCTTTAGTGATGGCTCAGCATCCCCGCAGCCGGCCCCGGGTCGCTCCTTCGAAAAGCCGTATTTTCTCCAGCCCTGAGCCGTGGGAGTTCAAGTGATGAGTAAATAATTGCCCCAATGGAGCGTATATTTCAGCATTTCTGACACTCGTAATTTAATACTGAATGGATTTTCACTTACTTGTTTGGGCTCAATGGCTCACTGATAATGGGGTATATTGGTATATCCAGGCAAGATACGCCCTATCAACTGCAGCCGACCTAACTAGGAGTGTAGATGTCTAGATTTATGTAGGTATTTGTATCGGACTTGAAAGTTTTTTCCTGGCTTTTCTAAGAGGCCATTGAGACCTTGGACATCATTCTCAATAATCACTATGTCACCAAGTCTCATGATTTTCAGGAACACCAGCTCCATAGAAGTGTTCTCTCAATGAGGTTAGATAGTCTTCTCACCAAATTTTCTCCCAACGTTCAATCATTTTATTAAAGTGTTTGAATTTACGTCTGAGTTTGCTCAGGTTCGAAAATAAAAGATCCTCTATGACTTCTTTATCATTCATGGGAGGAACAGGTACAAGCCTTCTGCCATGGAGTAAATTTGATGACTTTCTAAAATTGTCCGGATCATCGGTAACAAAGTTTAGAGGTCTGTTGTTACCTCTAATTTTCTATTCAGATCACATCTGTACGGAATTCTTCTAAGTCTATTCTCTGACGATGAAGAGTCTTCCATAAACGTTTCACAATGCCGATCATTCTTACATAAAACCGCCGTCTCAAGGAGATTTGGTGGGGGGGGGGGAGGAGGAATGTATCTCCAACGACAACTGCGTTGATTTCAGCATCCAGTTGTACTTCTGGCTTAACGAAGATCTTGCTTTATATACACACCAGTAACAAAGCTCGTTGCATTATCTGATATCTGTCAATCTGGTACGAACATGCCCTTCTGTCTGCAACCACTGAATAATTTGATAAAGGTTCAGCAGACATGTCAGTGCTACTATCTAGATGTCCAGTTCTTCTAGTTTAGCACAAGTGGACCAAACAGATGACACCATGATGGGAACATGTCTACAGTATTTAGTTAAAATTATTGGTCCAGTGTAAATCTACACCTGTCCACCCAAATGGATTGGAAATGACCAAACTCCATTCAGAGAGAATATGGAGGTGGGCCTGGATACTGACATACCGCATATCATAGTGACGACAAGTAATACAGTCCTTATTTGTTTTTTGCAACACACAACTTTGTACGACCTTGAAGGTATCCAGTAGAGATTGTCGTAAATGACAAAGTGTGTCAGCTACCCCACCAATTAACGACTTACATGGGCGATTTGCACAATCAGTTTTTGTTACCCAATGATTCATGGGGAACAATAATGGATGTATGGCTTCTTTAGGTAGTGAAGAATTATGAATTCTTCCTCGACATCTTATAATCTTTTCTGAGTCGAGATAAAGTCCTAAAAAATTATTCAGATCAGGTACCTTTGGGATTTATTCTGTATTTCCAGAAATTTATACTCTGTATTTGTTGCACCCAGTAATTAATGGGTTCAGGAAATTCATAATTATGTTCTATCCTTTTATTAATGTATTTAAAGAGTTGTAACTCTTAAGAATCTACCTAAAGATGAGTATTTAGATATATCAATGACTATTTTTGGTGTGTCTGCTTTATATAAATAGGTAAGACACATATGCAACAGTTAGGTATCTTTATTTTGAAACGTTTCGCCTACACTGTGTAGGCGAAACGTTTCAAAATAAAGATACCTAACTGTTGCATATGTGTCTTACCTAACAATCTGTCGGCATTTTATACCATTTTAATGTTTATATAAACAGATTATTTCTACTGTATTCAAGCAGACTGTTTCTTCTGGCAAAATGTGAGCTCTTTGCTGAGGCCAGTTATTTTTATTAGAGAGCCAGTTCGGTCCGTGGAGCCATAATTTATTATCCACAAATTTCTTGAGTGGGACACCACGTGACAACATGTCAGCTGGATTCTCTTGGGTAGAGACGAGGAGATAGAGATAATCTCTCTGCATCTCGCTTATTTCTGCTACTCTCTTCTGTACATAGACCAACTTACTCTTATTGTTTCTTAACCACTGGAGAACTGCTTCATTATCACTCCAGATCACGGTATTTTTAATGTTGAGATGACTTTGTTGAGATAGACAGCTAATTTTGTACCTACACAGAGTGCTGTCAGTTCCAATTGTGGTACTGTTCTGACCTTCAAGGGTGCTACCCTGGCCTTTGAAGTAATTAGTGTACTTCCTTCAGCATTACTCATGTAAGCTACAGCGCCATAACCTCTGGTTGACGCATCACAGATTTAGATTTAGATTTTGCCACCGAAGTGGCTAGTTTATTGTGCACCCCATATCCATCCTGTGGACGGTAGCGCGAGCGGCATAACCATCCTGTGGACGGTAGCGCGAGAGCATATGGATACACAAAAGGCCTAGGAACTAGGCCCCAAAGGGTTAACAGGAATAGATATGGATTTATATCTACATATCTATAGTTCACTTATCTGTTACAAGCAAATTTAGGAAATTTTCTTAGTATATCTGGTATCTTATTTTCATTAATAAGATATTCTTGCCTGGCACATAGGTTATTACACTGTCTGTCTCTGTATTCCTCAATAAGTGGACAATTAAGCACATAGTGTTCAAGAGAGTGACCATATGCCTGTCTTGAACACTATGTGCTTAATTGTCCACTTATTGAGGAATACAGAGACAGACAGTGTAATAACCTATGACATGGTCAAGATACTTATTAATGAAAATAAGATACCAGATATCTAAGCAAATTTCCTAAATTTGCTTGTAACAGATAAGTGAACTATAGATATGTAGATATAAATCCATATCTATTCCTGTTAACCCGTTGGGGCCTCTGTTGACTGCATCACAGACACTTGGTAATGTGTACTTGTTTCCTTCCCTCTTGACCTATTTGTCTGGGAAATTAAATTTGATGAAGTTGTTTAAACTCCTTGGATATTTCATCCGCCTCCCAGCACACATAAGGGGGATTACCAACAGACCCCTGGCAGTCTTCAAGCTGGCACTGGACAAGCACCTAAAGTCAGTTCCGGATCAGCCGGGCTTGTGGCTCGTATGTTGGTTTGCGTGCAGCCAGCAGCAACAGCCTGGTTGATCAGGCTTTGATCCACCAGGAGGCCTGGTCTCAGACCGGGCCGCGGGGGCGTTGACCCCCGGAACTCTCTCCAGGTAAACACTCCAGGTACTCCAGGTACATGCTTGACTCATTTCTAGAGGCAAGTTCTCATCCCGTCCAATTTTGAGTTTCCATGCATCTTGCATAAGCATTTTACCCTTTATGGTAATCGGTGAGACGAGTCCTAGAGGATCAAAACATTGTGATATCTCCTACAGTAACTACGTTTAGTGAGTGTACGCAATGATTTTATGTCTATTCCTTTTGAACACAAAGTATCTTTCCTGTGGTTCCAATTAAGTCCCAGCATATTGCTGCAATCAGAATGACAGTTACAGGAAATCTTCTATGATAATTTCTCATAACTGAGCTGTATAAGTAATCCACATCCTTAGAAGCATGTTGCTCTTATTTCATTGTTTAGCTTCTCTGTCTAAGGACTTCAAGTCACTCTTAATTCACGTACCTGAAGATTGTCCACATAGAGACTATATTTTAAAGATTCCTTTTGAAGGGACTTCAGATTTCTTCAAATGTGTATTCTCAGAGTAGCTTCTAGTAAAAGAGAGGATGTTTGCACCAAATAATACTGACTGAAACGATAATTTTTCACCAAGACTTTGAGGATCATGCGGATATTCTGGCCACAAGAATCGAGTAATAATCTACTATTTCTGTAGTCCCCTACACTTAAGAAAGCTTGGAAACAATAGCCGTGAAGGCATATGGATCTTGCGAAATTTCATAAGCACGTGCCACACTTCTTCAGTTAGTGAGGGGTCCGGTCATCAGACAGTCCTTAAGACTTGCTACATCTTTCTTTTGCACGTGCGCTGCATTATATACAACAAGTAGTGGAGTGGTTATCAGAAACCTTTCTGATTCCATGGTGCGGGCGATAATGAACTTCTGTCAACACTAACTCTACTACTTCCTCATGAATATATTGTCCAACTGATATTGATGATATTATCATAGACAGTCAGTAGCTCTGGATTCTTCCCCAGAGCTCTGTTTTTGTGCTTTCATTTGTCCGAAAGCCATGGCGATAATGCTAGGCAGATGTGGTGATTTAAATTTCCAATGGTAACCTAACCCAATACTGTCCATCTTTATATTTGACAGTGTCCAAATATTGGTTATAATTCTGAGACTCTTGTGGCTTGGTGAATTTACATCAATACCTATCGCATCTAATCCCCAACAACTTTATCACTGGTTCCATTCCTTTCTTCCAGTAATGAATAATTGTATGCTGTGGTACATGATTAACAGCGTTATTCCACGTAAGCTAGTTACATTTTCCACTGAATCAATATCAGTTTCTTTCCCACTTTGAGAGGGAATGGGACCACATATCATGAGGCCTCCTGCTGTTTTCAGCAAGTGCACACATGTTTACTTACTATAAATTTTGCACAAAACAGTTGATAATAATCACTTTCCAATGATTAAATCAATTGAACAGTAATCCGTCAGTATTCAGACGCTAACTAGACCCTGGCTTGCTTCAGTACTTCAACTTTTTTCTTTTATCCCTGGAACTGCACAGACTGGGGCAAATCATCTTACTACCGACAGCTTCTGTCTTTTACCTGCATCCCTATACAACAGTGATTCAGGTTAGGGTCAATTTCCCTGGTTTTTACTAGAATCTTGGAACAAAACGCTATATCTAAACTGTACCTTGGCAAAGAGTTGTTTTTTCAGTTCAGCAAACCTGTTCTTCTTATGAAGACCTTTGTGAAGCCTGATCAATAATGTTAGCACATTGGTTTTTGTGTAAATTATTAGATAACACACTCGAGCTATTGGAGAGCAGTCGATATAAGACGTTAACCCATCACATTAAATGCTGTATGTTTGGTGACTTCCTGATTCTGTGAAAGTCCGACTGTTGTCAAATAAATTCTTGGGCAAAACGCTAGAACGTTGCATACCTTTGCATTTAAAACACTTGTTCAGTGAGCATTACCTCCCTTGTGTTCACCCTATACACTTCTGCACCGTTTACAGGCTGTTAGCACGTTGTTTTCCATGCCTCCTATGTTGTGTATTGACTACAATACAGTTGCCGCAATTGTGATCCACGCACAAAGTATACATTGTAGAGTGTGTTTATTTGTGAGTCTGTTTTACTGTCTTTTGTAATCACAGCATTGAAAAGAGCCTACATAGGGATTCCATTCTGTGATTTAGTGGAAGTAGGTACACTCTTTTTATACCGACTGAAGGTTTAGTATCCACAGTAGAATTTGTGTATTTATCATCAATGTCTCTTGCTTGCATG